TGGGGAGAAACTCAGGCAGGGTAGGGGGGGCTTTCAAGTGGACTGAAGGGATTGGGGGCTCTGCATGGCAGAACACCCCTAATCCCTGCTCTCTGACCCCGCCCCAGATTATTTTTGAGGGTGTTCGAGGCTCTGGCTACCTGGGGGATATTGCCATAGATGACGTCACGCTGAAGAAGGGAGAATGTCCCCGGAAGCAGATGGATCCCAACAAAGGTGCCAGATGGGAAGGGGTAGGGGGAGCCGAATCTATGGGGAGCTGGGTAGGTAGGCACCTGTCCGTATCAGGAGAAGGTGCTGGTGTCTGAATGGTGGTTCAGAGTGACTAGGTGGTGGGATGCGTGCGTCAGTGACTATGTGAGCAGGTGTTGGTGTGTTTGGTACCCACCTTGGGCTCCACGTTGGCTCAGGTTATGGGGCATATGTAGGGCAAGGAGAAGACTAACCTCTGCCCTCCTGTGAACTTACTGAATTATTTACAGTACCCGAGTGCCTCCTGTGTCTGCGTCCAGGTATGTGTGGGTGCAGATGTGAACATGTGCCCCACCCCCCAGGGCCAGGTGTTTGCAGTTATAACAGCTGGAATTTGCTGAGTGATGACCATGTACCAGGCAAAGTACAAAGCCCTACATGTATCTGATCTCATTTAACCCTGATGACAGCCCTCTGGGGTAGCACTTACTATTAGACTCATTTTACAGATGGGGAAACTGAGGCCCACTGAGGCCAGCGAATTGCTCCGTGTCTTAGTGAGCTGCAGAGCCAGGATTTGGACCCTCTCAGGCTCAAAGTTAACCCCCACCCCACGCCACCAGACGTCTGTGCTTACAAGTATGTCTGTGCACAGTGAGGGCAGTGTCTCACTTTAGGTCCCCCAGAGAGAGGGGGAAGCCTGCTAGTCCCTGACATGCTGAGCTGATCAGAGCCCTGGCCTGTCTCCCTTTTCTCTCCTGTCACAGTGGTGGTGATGCCAGGCAGTGGAGCCCCCCGCCAGCCCCACCCACAGCTCTGGGGGCCCATGGTCATCTTCCTCTTGGCGTTGCAGAGATGATGAGAGCTGCGTGGCCCCCCCCACCCGGCCCCCGGCACACCAAAGTGTCCGCATCGTACCAAAGACTGACCCCCGCCAGCCGGGGTGCCCAGGGGCAGGGCCGGCCCGCCAGGGAGGGGGCCTGCATTGGCTGCGAGGATGAGCAGAGAACAAGGACAGAGGCCCGGCGCTGAGGCCCCGGAGACAGTCGTTTGACACACGCACACACTCACACACTCACACTCACACACACAGAGATATATTAAAGCACAAGTTTCTATCCGACCTGCCAGCACCTTCTTTTCTGCGGAGACAAGGGACTCGCCCGAATGGCGTCCACCACCCCAGAGACCTCGGCGCCACATAGGCCTTGTCCAACTGCACCTGTGGCGTGTTTCTGACCTTCCCACATTCCTAACTCAAGGCTGAGCCCCGGCCCAGTGGCTTTACCAGACGGGAGCCAGCAGAGGAGCAGACTCAGGAGCCCCACCCTTGGCTGGACTCTGGGACTCCCTGGGATGGGGGAGGCCTGGGTCAAAGGAGGCCAGGGGTACTTTGTGAGCTCCGTGAATGTCCCCGTGCAGGTGATGGCGAGGGAGGTCAGGCACCTGTTGCACGCACCTCTGTTTACAGGGCGAGAGCTGGAAGGTGGAGATCCCAGGTCACCCTGATCCCTTGACCTGTTCCTTGGACGTCATATCTCACCTCGATGTACCCTTTTGAAGGGACCCAGCACAGGGTCCTGGGCCTGGGCAGTCTGAAGACTGACACCTTCCCTTCTACCCCATCCAACCCCCACCCCACCCTACGAGGAGCTGGATTCCTGAGAGCACAGTCCCCACCCTAGTCAGCTGGCCTGAATTCAGCACCCACCTGCGTCTCCGAGGAGCCAGGAGGGGTGGAGGCCGGCTGTTTTCTGGGGTGAGGCTTGACTTTGAGAGGGGCAGAGGAGAAAGCCTGCTTTTGTGAGTTTGTGCCCCCATGGCATTTGGGAATAGAGTGGAAACTTCATTTCTTATACACTTGGCATGAAGGAGTGCCCTGGATAGGAGGGTATACATAGAGGGGGTGCCCCTGCAAAGCACTGTCTAGTTGGCTGCTCCCTTCCCTGCCCAGGGTCAGTGAAGGGGGGCGGGCGGTGTGGTGGTTTGTAGAGCAGCAGCAGAGGGTGGGGCAGTTGCTGGCCTCCATGTTGCCTGGGAGCCGAGCTCATGCCCTGATCCATGAAAGGGCTCCCTGTCCTTGGGTTCTGGGATGGGAACCTAGATGGGCAGGGTGGAATCTAGACCTGTCCTTCTCAACATCACCCGTGAGACCCCAACCAGCCGTCTATGGGGGAGATGAGGACCAGCTCTTTCCAGGGTGAGCCTTCACGCTTGCGTACGTGTGGCTGTGTGTGTGCGCACATGTGTGCACGTGCGTGGGCCGATCTGTGTCTGTGTAGCACTGTGGGGACGTCTCTGGGCAGCAGTGTGTGCAAATATGAGTCCGCATGTGCAATTACACATATCTGTCTGTGAGGCCAGGTCTAAACCCTGTCTCAGTGAGTGCCTGTGGATGTCGGCATGCACGTCAGCCTTCAGGGGGACACGAGTGTTTGTAGGGGGCTGGTGGAATATACCACTTCCGGCCCTAGTCTGTAGTCTCAAGCTGCCTGCCACCGCCTGAATTTCTACCTTTCATCCCCTCTAGATGACAAAGAGTTTACAGATGACCCTATTGAAATGCAAGCACCTTTGGTGGGGGTTGTCACAGGGATTCACCCGGAGCATTCTGCAGGGACAGTTGCCCAGAAGGGGCAGCACCGCAATGCCAAGAGGCAGGCAGGGGACCAGGGGACAGGCCTGTGTGATCATCATCACCCACAGCTGGCAGGGGGCTGGGCCAGGCCTGGAGCAGGGCCTTCTGATGCCTGACCAGCCCGGCTGCCTTCTTGGCCCAGCCGAGGCCTCGGTCCGAAACGAGTGGCTCCAGGTTCCCAGAACACACTTCCATCGCGCTGGCTGGGTATTGTTCCTTAATTGTCCCATCTGTGCAGGGTCTGCTGCCCCGACTAGACTGTGAGCTCCTCCTCTGAGCCTTCCAACCTTCTCCCCCACCCCCGCTCCCAACCTCAACGCCCAGCACAAGTAAGTGGGCCTGTTATGGAAACCACAGCAGGCTTTGCCCAGCGGGAAGGATGATATTAATCGGTGGTTCCCAGCCCTGGCTGCAGAAGAGAACCACCCGAGGGTCTTTTAGAGAGCCATGATGCTTGGGTCCTACCCCCAGAGGTTCTGATTTGATTGGGCTGGTGTTCAGCCTGGCATCAGAAATGTTTAAAAGCTCCCCAGAAGAACCCGGGAGTGGGAACCAGTGGCCTATCACCTGCCAAGTGCTTCCTTTGTGCCCTTGCTGGGGTGGGTATGGAGATCCAGGGATGAAAAGCACCAGGTACTTCCTCCTTGGGACACTGAGGTCCTGGGTCCTCACGTGTGGATGGGTGAGGCTGGTGTGTATGAGTGTGTGTGTGTGTGTGTGCATGCAGGCAGGTCTGCAGGGAGTGTGGGTGTCACTGTGTATTAGCATTAACAGTGTGTGATGAGAGCACTTAGAGTGTGCCAGTCAGTGGGTGTGGGGGGAGGGCGGGGGGAAGATGGGGTCTGCAAGGAAGGAGTGTCTTTGTGCATCTGTGTGTGCCTGTGATTCAGCACCTCTGTATCAGTGTCACTTGTGCTGTGTGTGTCTTTGAGTGCCTGTGGGTGTCAGTACCGTTGTGCTGGTAGGTGGCCCATCAAGACCCCCAGCCCAGGGGAGACCAGGCTGGCAGGATCCAGTGCATCTCCCCCTGGGGCAGTCTCGCCCTCTGGGTCAGGGTGGCTGAGGCATTTTGTGGCCTTAAAACAGGGAGTCCAGGGTCAGCCCTCATGGTGTTGGGGTTTGTTCAGCCCTGTTGCCCCTGATTTGATGTTTTGGGGAGACCCCTAGGGCCCGGTGCTGTACAGTTAGGAGAGGGGAAGTCTCAGCTAAGCCTGCGGACCACACGCCCATCTCCTGGAATGCCCCTCCCACCTTGCCTTCTCCGGGATATTCTGCCACCTCTTTCCCTTTCATTCTTTCTCCCTGTGCTCGCTGGCTCAGGCTCTCATGGCCAGGGTGGGCCTCAGAGGTCTGAGCCCCTCACCTTGTAAATGGATAGGAGCAGGGGTGGGGGGGCTGGCCCAAGGTCACATGGCTAGTTGGGGTGGAGCCAGCCTTGGAAGCTGTGCTCTACAGCCCCGAGGGTGTCACACTGCTGGCCACTGCCTCCTGCTGGCAGCCAGACTGCTCTGTCTCTGGGTGCTGGTACAGATGTGACTGGGCACCTGCTCTAGGAAAGGTGCTCCCTCCCTGCCCCAAATTCTGGCCTCTCATCCCAGGCCACCGCCCCTCCCACCCCAGATCAGGCCTGGGTGCCCTGTGAAAGCTGCATCCCTCTGCCCACCCAGGCTTTAGCTACTGCCCAGGTTCCCAGACAGAAGGGACTGTTTCCCCTCCCTGCCCTCTGTCTTCACATGAGCCTGGGCTCCGAATGAAGGTCAGTGTGTCCTTGTGTCCTCACCCTGTGGACTTAACCCTAAGGACCAGGAGGGCAGGGGTGAGAGTGTACAAATTCTTGTATTTTCTTCTCCCTGGATTCGAGGGGGTTGGGGGGGGGGGTTTCCAAGGTCTGTCCCAAGGAATGGGGTGAATGAGCCTGCACTGGGGAGTCCCTGTGGGGCCCCTGGTTGAGGTTCTGGGCTCTGGGGAGCCTTCCTCATTTCCACAGGCAAGATAGCACGCCCCTTTCTGTTGAGTCAGTGCTATGTGTGAGGCTGTGTGTCTGTGAGAGTGAGGGTGGGGGGTGTGCATATGAATGTGTGTGAGGGAATGTGTGTGTGAGGCGTGTGAATAGGTGTGAGGGTATGTGCTGGAGTAGAAGGACCACTCTTTCCTAGAGATCCCTGGACCCTTAGAGCTGGAAAGGACCTCAGAGACCATTTAATCCAGTGCCCACACTGTACAGGTGAGAAAGCTGAGGTCAGAGAGATGGCACTTGTCCACCATCACCCCTCCCTCATGTCACCTGCATTCGTTTCCCAGGGGCTCCGCTAGACGTGCCCGCCCTCCT